TGTGTGTGTGTGTGTGTGTGTGTGTGTGTGTGTGTGTGTGTGTGTGTCAAACTTGGATTTCCTATAGCAATTCTCATATAGTGGATGGAGGGACAGTCTTTTTTTCCTGTCCACTCCATACTGGCCGTGTAACCTTTGTCAAGTCATTCAGACTTTCTGATCTTTATTTTGCTTATCTGTCAGATGGAGATGGTGCTTTGCCCCTAGGGTTGTTGAGAGAACTAAATGTGCATAAATTATTCTGTATAGTACCTGGCACTTCATAGCCATAGCTATTATTATCTCTTACCACTAGTGAGAGCCATTAATTTTTGTTTTTCAGATAATAAAAGTTAAAAAAAAAAACCAACTCCTGAATATACCGATAGTTACTGTTTTTGTTTTTTAGTGTTGGACTGAGCTACCAAAATATACATAGTGCAGGATTACTGGATGATTAGTATTAATTCTGAAGATAAGGAATTGCTGAATTTTAAAAGTTTACCCGAAAAACTACTTGCCTAAACTCAGACACTAGGTTTCATTTGACAGAGTCTTTGAAGCAGCTGTACTGCTGGTGACCAGAAATAAACTATTCATGTCCAGACCACCTAACCTATTCTCAAGGAATAAAGCACCTAATAAATGGATCTGATCAGTTGAACTAGTAAATTATCACAAATTGGTTTCATTTCAAGAGTTTTTTAAACCAAGTTATTTCTAAATGTCTTTTCAGAGATTGTTTCATTTTTTTATTTCTCCTTTTTAAAGGTGAGTCGTTCGTCTTTGCTAATAGAACAGCCTGTGAAAAAACGGCCTCTTTTGGATAATCAGGTGATAAATTCAGTGTGTGTTCAGCCAGAGCTACAGAATAATACAAAACATGCAGATAATTCATCTGACACAGAGATGGAAGACATGATTGCTGAAGGTTTGTGAGTTTCACTTAAGATACCCTTTATTTAACTTTGACTTTTACTGCTTGAAAAAGGACGTGGATTTTTATTCTGTACAGATTTTTACTGGAAGTATTCAGCTTTTATTCTCATATATTGCACCATTTGACTAAAATAATGGGAAAGCTAATCAGACTCTGATTGGTCACATAACTAAAATAGCATGATTAGTGCTATTTTGTTCAATGTCAGCTTGACTTCTGAAGGAATGTGGGTGGGAAAAGTTTCATCATATGTGAGAGAATGCAATTCAGAATTTTAGTATCAAAACAATTTCTTTTTTTAAAGCAGACTTAAGTAACAAATGAGTATTTTACTGCGTTTGCTTAAACTTTTAGAGTTTCTGGGTTGTTTTGTTTTAGCCTTTCTGCATTCTGATGTTTGATATGAGGTGGATATTATAATTAAGTATATACTCTTCATTCAAGGGGTGATTACATTTGTTCAATGAGAAAACTCCTTTTTATAGACTTTATTCTAATAAAGAATAAAATATGGCCAGGTGCAATGGCTCACGCCTGTAATCCCAACACTTTGGGAGGCCAAGGTAGTCAGATTACTTGAGGTCAGGAGTTCGCGACCAGCCTGATCAACATGGTGAAAGCCTGTCTCTACTAAAAATAAAAATTAGCTGGGTATGGTGACGTGCGCCTGTAATCCCAGCTACTTGGGAGGCTGAGGCAGGAGGATCACTTGAACCCCAGAGGTGGAGGTTGCAGTGAACTGAAATCACACCATTGCACTCCAGCCTGGGTGACAGAGCAAGACTCCATCTCAAAAAAAAAAAAAAAAAGAATAAAATAAATAGAAGTCAAAGTGGTATACAAAAGTGACTGAAGGAAAGCAAACAAAAATAAACATGAAAGTGTTATTTCATACCTTCAATTTGCTATTTAAAAGCTGCAAAGTTTTTACTGTTTTATGGGGTGAGATTCTGAATTGCCATGTTCTATGGGAACATCTTTTTGAGACAATTCCTCTTAATTTTGATCGTGGCTCTTCAGGTGATAGAGTTCAGTTTAATGTAATAGCATTTAGAATAGTGAAGGCTCTATGGAATTAACGTTTGTGTCTAAGCAGTTATCCTCAGTGTATTAGTATATTTCATTAAAATTAATGTATTCACTTTACAGATACTTATTGAGCCGATACTGCGTGCTTTTACTTTGCTAAATTAAGCAAAATAGCATGCTGGTAAGCAAACTAGATACTGTCTTTGCCCACAGTTTTTCTAACTTAAAAGGATGCCACCTCTGGCACTGTTAGCTCTTTATAAACTGATGAAACATACTAATCACCATTTTACTTGTTACTTGAACAGCAAAGAGTATACTAGTTTAAAATTTTTTTTTCCTACTTATTTGGGGTTCGGTTTGATTTGTTTTAATTTGAAAGGATGTTAACCATGATAAATTTCAAACATTGGTTAGAAAGAACTGTATAACAAATCCCCAAATCCCCAATCACCCAGACTAACACTATCACCCAAATTCATCATTATTTTGCCACATTAGCTTCATCATTCATTTTGTTTCCCTCCTTCTATTCCTACGTCCCCCCACACCCTCTACCCTACCTGCCTCCCGCCTCCCTCCCTTCCTCCCTGTTTTAAAGAAAATCATAGTTGCTGGTACATACATCAGTGTGTATCTCTCAAAATAATACACATTTACTTACATAACTGTAATGCCATATCACACATTACAAAATAATAACTCTTTGCTGTTATATAATACCTGACCCATATTCATATTTCCCTAATTTTATAAGTCCTTTTATAGTTATTTAGTTAAATCAGGATCCAAATAAGTATATAATGAGATAAACTAATACACTGAGGATAATTGCTGAGACACAAGTGTTAATTCAATACTATAGAGGCTTCCATATTCTAAATGCTGTTACATTAAATTGAACTCTGTCACCTGAAGAGCCACGATCAAAATTAAGAGGATCTAAATAAGGTCTGTATTGTGCCTTTTGTTTCTGTGAATTTAATTTCATTTAATTATCAAATACCGCCTTTCTTTTTTTTTTATTTTTTTTTTATTTGAGATGGAGTTTCGCTCATGTTACCCAGGCTGGAGTGCAATGGCACGATCTCGGCTCACCGCAACCTCCGCCTCCTGGGTTCGGGCAATTCTCCTGCCTCAGCCTCCTGGGTAGCTGGGATTACAGTCACGCACCACCATGCCCAGCCAATTTTTTTTTTTTTTTGTATTTTTAGTAGAGACAGGGTTTCACCATGTTGACCAGGATGGTCTCGATCTCCTGACCTCGTGATCCACCCGCCTCGGCCTCCCAAAGTCCTGGGATTACAGGCTTGAGCCACCGCTCCCGGCCCGCCTTTTTTTTTTTTTTTTTTTTTTTGAGAAGGAGTCTCCCTTTGTCTCTGAGGCTGGAGTGCAGTGGCACAGTCTCTGCTCACTGCAACCTCCACCTCCTGGGTTCAAGCGATTCTCCTCCTTCAGCCTCCCGAGTAGCTGAGATTACAGGCACCCGCCACTATGCCCAGCTAATTTTTGTATTTTTAGTAGAGACGAGGTTTCACCATGTTGGCCAGGATGGTCTCGATCTCCTGACTTTGTGATCCACCCGCCTTGGCCTCCCAAAGTGCCAGGATTACAGGCGTGAGCCACCATGCCTGGCCAAATACTGTCTTTTAATTACACATACTATTTTATCTGAGAACATTTCTCACTTGATACGAAAAGTAATAAAGAATTGGCCTGTATCTACAATATGTGTATAAATGAAAATTCTAGGCTAAAAATTATTTATATGTTCCCCTGTGTACACAATAGGAAGAGCATGGAAATTTGCTTAGGAAACTTTACAACATGTAGTACGATCCTCAGCTTATAATTTAATGGACATGTAGTATATATTAGACTATTCTAGAACATGAGAGATATATGTATATACGTATATATTCTTTACATACATAAAGAAGTAAAATAGAATCCCCTTTCCCTCCAGGAGCTTTTAATGTAGTCTGGAACTAGGGATCTAGGGAATCTCCACACCAAAAGGTAATGAAGGCGCTACCAATGGTATCTTTTCACTGAATTATATAAACAGCAAGAATTTAGAACTTTAAAACTGGCTAAGATTATTCCCACTTTGGTGGGTTTCCTGTAAAAATGAGATTTGAGCTGGGCCATGGATTTAATGCATAGATTTAAGATAAACAGCAAGAACATTTCAGATTAGAACACTAAGAGTAAATGCAGCGCTCGGTAATTTTGAGAGAGGGCAGTGAAGAGTAGAGGGCTGCACTAGAGGAGGAGTGGGAAGTCTGAATGGCAGAGTCAGTTTATGGAGAACCTTGGATATTAGACAAGCCAGTTAGAAGTTACCTTGTTGGGTGGATGGTTTGAAGTTTGGTGGATAGTTACTGAAGATTTTTAGGCAGGTGATATGAATAAAAGTGTTTTTGGAAACTTTGATAGCCATTTATAGGATGTATGGATAAGTTTTGCACGTAATTGACACCTGTAGTCATGGTGGCAAGAGGAAGGAAAGGACTGATGTTCTCAAGGTAAAGGGGTAGGTAGTTCAGCAGGATATGATATCAGAGTAAGAAAAGGAAGATGCAGAGATAACATATTTCATAGGTAAGAAATAGTTATATAAAACGTGCTAAAATTTTAAATACTTCTAATTTAATTTCTCAAGGTAATTTTATAATCTTCATGTTCGTATTACTATGTACGTCAGTGTTTGTAGGGAGTACTACAGTGTGAAATGGTGAGGTCACTTACTTAGTGGCTTTGGTTTTAGTAGTATGTGTAGTTTCAACCTTCAAACCTCATGGTAATCATATAAAGGATAAATTGTGGGTCTGTTTAGACTGGTTCTATAATGAGAGTTTCCAACCAGTTTGTGATTCATCCATCTCATTGCCTCTTTTTGCTGCTGTCCCCATGTGATTTCAGGTCTTTGGGGGAAGTAAAAAGTAACTTCTCCTCATGCCAGAAAATGGGGGCTCTATATTAGTTAGGAAGTAGGTTTGGCCACTCCAGTAGAGATCCAGAATAATATTTGATTAAAGAAGATAGGAGTTTAATTTTCTTTGACATAACTCAAAGGTCAGCAGTTGAGGGCTTCATGTGGTAATTCCTTAGTACTGGGCACTCAAGCTCCAGGGTCTTACGTCTCTGCCTCCGTAGAATGTTGCTTTTATTTCCAAGATGGCTAATCTTCATGATCACATTCTAACCAATGAGATGGGGGAAAGAGCACCATCTGGAATTTGTGAACATTTACATTCATATGCCATTGGTTACAAATTAGTCACACCTAGGACAGAAACTTGTTTTTAATCTGGGTGGCCATGTTCGTAAGGTTTTGTTACTATTGGAGAAAAGCAGAGTGGATGCTGGAGAATTACCAGCTGTTTCTGCCATAGAATCCATTTTTATTACTAAATCAACAGTTTAAAAAATTGTTTTGGCAGTTTTTTAAAATTCATAAATGTAAAATAGTGACCTTGGCAATATTACCAAATTTATTAAAAATCTGACTGAACATTAGAACAAGAATTTTTGAATCTGTTAATATTCCTCACTTCTTTATGAGAAATAAAACTGATACTCTATTTTTGTTGGGTTAACTGTAAACCATTTCTGTTTGATATTTCCGCTCTCTCACCAGCAGAAACATTTCCTTCTCCTTCATAATGTATTCTAACCTATTATCAGATGTTACACATTGCTTTGTTAATTAACAAAACATCTTTGAAACAAAGCTTTTCGCATATCCTGTTCCTGGAATAAACCTGAGAAATGGAGTCTGTTAGGGCTGGAACTAATGGCTGTCACTGGTGGTTGAGTGAGAAGTACAGGCTTTTCAAGGTCAGATCAGATTATAAGCATGACAAAATAAAAACAGTACTTCTGGGAGTTATGTTGTCAGGTCTCAGGAATGCGTTGGTGGATCTTCTGACTGGGCGGTTGGAAGGGGCAATTTTTAACTTACTTGTTTTGAGATTGTTTCTTCCTCATTGCTACTAAATTGATGACTTTTGCTTACGAAAGTAGTCCTGAGAGTAGTTATATATGTAGGGTAGAAGAAGGACATTCTAACTTAATAAGGAGCATCCTATTAACCATCCTGTTTTATAATTAGATATATGCATCTTTTAAAATAATTTTATGTATGTATCTATGTATGATGAATGAGATGGGATCTTGCTATGCTGCCCACAGCGGTCTCAAATTCTTTGGCTCAAACAGTTCTTCTGCCTCAGCCTCCTGATATATACATCTTTATATATTTTATCATATACTGCAGGTCTTTGAGAGAGCTAATTATCTTACATGCTCCTTTAAATCAGACATATCAAAATTTCACCTTTTTGAAGCCATCGCTCCAATTAGAATTAAGGGTTCTCTATGTGTCTCCACAGTTCAGTTTATCAAAATTCATATCGCACACTCAGCTTTTTGAAAGTGTTCCTCCTGGAAGGTAGTGCCTATGTTATTGATCTTCATTTCTTTCCCAGTGTTTATAAAGTTTTTTTGTATGTTTTAGATGGATTGTAAGCAAGAGAAACCTTTTAAAATGTTACGTTTATTTATGTAGAAAGAAATTCCTTATAATTTTTATGCAGAAGCAAGAGGGAATTAGTAGCGGTGGTTGTTTTTTGAAGGCTTTTGTCTTGTCAAAGTGACTGTGGATTGAAAAGTTAAAGAACCATTGGTTTGCTAGCAATATCCAACCAAAGTGTAGACTAAAAGAAAAATTTGCATAATTAAATTTTTGGAACCTTTTTTTCCTTCTTTTTTAGAGACATTAGAAGAAATGGACAGTGAGTTGCTCAAGTGTGAATTCTGTGGGAAAATGGGATATGCTAATGAATTTTTGCGGTCAAAACGATTCTGCACGATGTCATGTGCCAAAAGGTATTTCTGTGCTATTGAATTTCCTAAAGGACAGATAAATAACTATTGGAACAAAACCCAAAAACCCTTGAATAGCTTACCAAGGATAATTCTAGATATTTTAGTATGTATTACTATAGAAGAAACCTAGATATTGTAATGTAGAAGCATAATACAAATAGACAGTATCTGGAGACACCTTGTACTTAGTTACTAGATTTTGCTTTGTGAAAATTACATATTCATAACACTTAATTGTACAGTATAATCTGATATTAAAGTAGTAATCTCCTGGTGGTAAGAATATATTTAGGAGAATCCCTCCAAGGAAATGATCAGGATGTTATGTAATACTAGTCCTTAAAATATCAAAAACAATATGTTTTATCATTATTGAAATACTTAGATTTACTTTGTGTTGTTTTAAAATGTTTTCATTTGTTTGAATCACATCCTATTTATTTTAGGTTTCTAATGGGACAGCTATAGTATAAATTCCCCATACTGTTAACATGGTCAGAAAGTACTTGTCTTTTCTGAATTAGTATTTGCAATAGTCATAGTTTTGCGTTTTTTTTAATACAGTCTCACTCTGTCGCCCAGGCTGGAGTGCAGTGGTGCAATCTCGGCTCACTGCAACCTCCGCCATTCGGGTTCAAGAGATTCTCCTGCCTCAGCCTCCTGAGTAGCTGGGATTACAGGCACCTTGCCACCATGCCTGGCTAATTTTTATATTTTTAGTAGAAACGGGGTTTCACCATGTTGGCTAGGCTGGTCTCGAACTCCTGACCTCAGATGATCTACCCACCTCAGGGGATTACAGGTGTGAGCCACCACGCCTGGCTGATAAATAGGATTAATAACAAAATAAATGTGTAGTCTCTTCATTAATTGTATAATTCCCAAGTTTGGTTTACATTTAAAAAGAACCCCACCCTAATTCTGATAATAAATCCTAGTAATACTGATACTTGCCACTAAAATTGAAGTGTATGCACACTATTTTGAAATTGGTTCTGTGTTCAGAAGGGTGATTATTCTCTCAAAGGATTTAAGATCAATAGGATGACTATAGCTTGTACTATATTTCAAAATAGGTAGAAGAGAAGAATTGGAATGGTTCTAACATGAAGAAAAGACAATATTTAAGATATGGATTTCCCAAGTACATTGATTTGATCATTACAGATTGTATGAATGTATTACATTATCACACACATACCCTAAAACTATGTACATCTATTATGCATCCATAAAAAATAACCTCATGAAAAAAATTAATATGTTAATTGTATACATCTAGGGAATTTCTGACTTGAACATTTTATTTTGTATGGGATATTTCCAAAATATACTTAATAAAAAGTTAAATAGTAGAAGTGTTTTCCTCCAAAATTGGGTTCATTGTTTCAGTTGTTAATCTGTTTTTCAAATATGCTTTGATGTTACTGATAAACCAGTAATCAAGTTATGTAACTCAAGTTTTAACTTGAATTTTCTAGGTTGCATATACCACAAAAAAAGAACAATGGTTCTCTGAGTCTAAGTGATTAAGTACTCTAAAAACTTGGGGAAAGGACTGCCTTTCAGAATATTTTAAACTTCTTGACTACTTAAAAATATTTGAGGACATTTAATGCTGCCATCAGTCTTCTCTCAGAGATGACTGCTGAGTTGTGACATTAGTATTCCTTTTGGTGAACCTCTTTTGCAAGGTAGGGGACCTAACAGGGAAACGTGGATGAGAGAGGGTAGATTAGGTCAGGGAAGAACCCTTGTCATTTCCATGTCTACCTAGCTGTCTTGGAAAGCTAAATATTTAGGGACAAGATATCAAGTATAAAGCTAACCTCTTTTTTCTATTCCTTTTTTTTTTTTTTTTTTTTGAGATGGAGTTTTGCTCTTGTTGCCCAAGCTGGAGTGCAATGACGCGATCTCGGCTCACCGCAACCTCTGCCTCCCGGGTTCAAGTGATTCTCCTGTCTCAGCCCCCTGAGTAGCTGGGATTACAGGCATCCACCACCACACCTGGCTAATTTTGTATTTTTTACTAGAGACGGGGTTTCTCCACGTTGGTTAGGCTGGTCCTGAACTCCCAACCTCAGGTGATCTGCCCGCCTCGGCCTCCCAAAGTACTGGGATTGCAGGCGTGAGCCACCACACCCGGCCTTTTCTATTCTTAACGGATAAAGTTGATATAAATGGAAATCAGAAACCTACATCACTGAGCCCACAGATGAGCATATTATGAACACAGCAGGATCTTCTTGAATTGTTTTAGGGTAAAATGAATTGGCCATCAAGATACTTATATTTTTATGGGAAAAATAGCATATTCATTCTCATAGTACCTTTTTTTTTTTTTTTTTTTTGGAGACAGAATCTCACTCTGTAGCCCAGGCTGGAGTGCAGTGGCGCAATCTCAGCTCACTGCAACCTCTGCCTCCCGGGTCCCGGTTCAAGCAATTCTCCTGCCTCAGCCTCCGGAGTAGCTGGGATTACAGGCACGCGCCACCATGTGCAGCTAATTTTTGTATTTTTGGTAGAGATGGGGTTTCACCATGTTGGCCAGGCTGGTCTTGAACTCCTGACCTCGTGATCTGCTTGCCTTGGCCTCCTAAAGTGCTGGGATTACAGGCATGAGCCACCATGTCCGGCCTCTCATGGTACTTTTTATTTCTACCTCTTAATATCTATAAAATGTTGATGAGGAGAATTTGTTTTGGTGTCAGCATATGGGTCCTAGAGTAGTTACCAGCAGCAAAGTTAATTGGGATTTATTCTTGCAACTTCCTTGGAGCAAAAGAATTTTGAAGAGTGGATGTGGTTGCACACACCTGTAATTCCAGCAGTTTGGGAGGCTGAGGTGGGAAAATTGCTTGAGCCCAGGAGTTTGAAACCAACCTGGGCAACATAGTGAGACCCCCATCTCTGTGAAACAGATTTTTGAAAATAAGAAGTTACCAAGGCAGTTTCGTATATGTAAAAATGAAACTGCATATATCTTTCTTAGCCTTTGCATAGCTTTTCAGAAATTTGTTTCTTAACATCATTTCTTCTCACTCTTCTTTCTAGGGAAAGGTTGGCAGACTCACCCAGGCCAAGTCTTTCCTGTGGTTCATTTTTTTGTATAGGCTCATGACCCAAGGATGATTTTGAAATTTTTAGTTTTTTTGGGGAAAAAAATCATAATAATATTTTGTGATATATGAAAATTGTGCGAAATATAAATTTTACTGTTACTAAAAGTTTTACTGGAGCACAACTGTGCTCATTCAATATTTTCTATTTTTAATTTTTTAAATTTATTTTTATTGTTTTGAGACAGGGTCTAGCTCTGTTACCTATGCTGTAGTGCAATGGCACTATCACAGCTCACTGCAACCTTAGCCTCCAGGGCTCAAGCCATCCTCCTGCCTCAGCTTCTCAAGTAGCTGAGACTACAGGTGTGTGCCAGCACACTTGGCTAGTTCTTGTATTTTTGGTAGAGACGGGTTTTCACCATGTTGGTCTTGAACTGGTCTTGCCATTTACTGGTCTTGAACTCCAGAGCTCAAGTAATCCATCCACCTTGGCCTCCCAAAGTGCTGGGATTACAGGTGTGAGCCACTGCGTCCAGCCCAATATTTTCAGTGGCTGCTTTCACACTACAATGGCAGAGATGGGTAGTTGTGAGAGAAACTTGTATGGTCCATTAAACTTAAAATATTTACCATCTGGTCCTTCGTATAAAAAGTTTGCCAGTCCTTGTTCTAGGGCATTAGAGTCCATTAAAAGGCGTAAGATGAGCTGTCATCATGTCTTATAAAGGTCTATGTTCAAAAATATTAGGCAGTCTATTTTGATAAAATAAAATCTTTCATTAAATGGTTATGTACTTCTAAATTTTCTGAATAGTGAGAGCAATGAATTCCTTGTGTAACTTTAAAATCTCTACTTTACATTTTCATTCTTTGATTTTAGTAGTATTTGAAAAATCTTTTATTAGCTGGCTGAGATTCTCTCCCTAGCATACTAAACTTTTAAAAATTAGTGTCTTTGGAAGTTTTTACTTAGAAAAATCAGTTTGAATAAACATCTACATAGATACTACATAACTTCTTTTTCTTTTGGAACCTTCCACTTTTTTTGCTGCTATGAAAATTGGTTATTCTCTGTATTTTGCAGGAAGTTTCCCATTGTCATGCTGTAATCAGAAAAAAATACAATACCTTGTTGTAGAAGTCCAGTAGTATATTGAGAGATATATTATGATATACACAGAGCTTGTTTTTTGACCTTTAGCATAAGTAAATCCATGAAACGATATAGTTTATAAGGTCTTATATTCATTAACGATGTATTATGGTACTTACTGAGTCACAATTGCACTTTAAAGTCACAATTGTATACTAAATGGATTGTCTCATATATCATTAAATACTTTTTCTTACTTGAATTTCTTTAGGTACAATGTTAGCTGTTCTAAAAAATTTGCACTTAGTCGTTGGAATCGTAAGCCTGATAATCAAAGTCTTGGGCATCGTGGCCGTCGTCCAAGTGGCCCTGATGCGGCAGCGAGAGAACATATCCTTAGGCAGGTCTGTACAAACCTTGCTTCAATGTAAAGTACCCTTTTCAGAAATGCAAGGAAAGTGCAATGCTGTATTTTGCTTGTACTACATTTTCCAGCTTCCAATTACTTATCCATCTGCAGAAGAAGACTTGGCTTCTCATGAAGATTCTGTGCCATCTGCTATGACAACTCGTCTGCGCAGGCAGAGTGAGCGGGAAAGAGAACGTGAGCTTCGGGATGTGAGAATTCGGAAAATGCCTGAGAACACTGACTTGCTACCAGTTGCACAAACAGAGCCATCTATTTGGACAGTCGATGATGTCTGGGCCTTCATTCATTCTTTGCCTGGTATGTAATTCATCACTTTGGCCTTAATATTTTTCTCGTGCATTCACACACAGCAATGTTAGATCCATCCACACTTTTGCACAAAAGGGTTAGAGAAGTACTGTGTGTATGTATAAATTAAGTGGCATTTGTTATTGAAATATGATCTGTTTCCTCTTGCTTATTCCCTCAGCACTACTGGGTATTTTCTCATACCCCCCAAGTCGATAAAAACTGACTAGTCCTGCTTCTGCTGTGACACCTCAGCCGGTGAAGATATTAATGGTGCTTTCTTCTCTTCAGTCTGATTTCTCTCGAGAGGTCAGTAGAGAGATTGAATCAGACACTTCTTCCCTTCTGCTCTTCTATTTTTCTATCCTATTCCTCCTTATTTCCTAATTTACCCTTTTTAAAAATGAAATAAGAGAGACTTTTTTTTTTTTTTTTTTTAAAATTTTTTTAAAGTTAATCAAAACCTTTTACATTTTGTAAAAATTTTGTTTTCTTTGAAAAAAATCAAGCCAGTTCTTTTAAAAGAAGGTACATTCTTTGATTCTTTTCAATAAATATTGAGTCTTTCTGAAATTTTATTTTTCAAATAGACAGCTGAAATTCAATTATATTCATTCTAATTTTGAGGGTAACTTTCTTATTTATATTTTCTTGTTCTCTCATTTTGATACTCTTTCCATCAACTTTTATCTTTTTTTCTTAAAACGACAGTAATCTTTTATATCCACTTTCTCCAAGGGGCTGGCTACTAAAGACAGCTACACCTTTGCTCATGATGAGACCCACACTGGCTATATATGTTAAGACTATATATATTTATATATATATACTTAAATCAGTAAATCTTGTCATTCACTTTGACCTTGTGCATATGGAAAATGAGGAGACTAAAACAAAAATTTATTCCCTTTTGGTTTTATTGCAAATCATATCATTTCTCTTGATATAAGAACTTGTATCAAATAAGTCGTATTTGAACTTGTCTGCTAACTTTTTACAGTTTAATAAGCTAATTAATTAGTTATTGTTGCTAATTAGTCTATGACGGCAACTAAAGTCTTCAAAGCATACTTAGAGCAAACATGCTATACAAGAAAATATATTTAGAAATGATAGTTTTAAAGAATCTGTTACTCATTTCATGTACAGAATTCTGTGAGATTTTATTAGTTTATTAATAGCTTGTTATAGAAATGCTTTTTTTTTTTTAACAAAACAAAAAATATGGCCATTTTTAAAGAAAGATGGAATTGTTTAAAGGGGAGATACTTCATGGGAAGATTTTTAAACATGTGCATGTGCCCAAGAAAACTTAGGTGTGAGTTAATTGCTGACCATGTGCATTTAGAATCTGCTTTAAACTTGATGTATTTAGAAGATGGTGAATCTTCGTTGGTTGTAGTTTTAGTATCTAATGAAACCAATTTTAGTTTTTAGACCAGTATAGCTATCTTGAGAATTAACTTTGGAGTCTATACTGATTCCTGGGGCTGGACTTTGATTCTGTCATCTTCAGAAGTAGTCTCAGCCTTCCAAGTGGGGCACATGATCTGTTTGTGAGCCTGAGTTTTCATTTGGGAGAAATTTTTCTTTTCCTTTGCAGAAGAGAGCTGGTTTACATCCTGAGGAAAATAGTTGGCCAGATAATTAATAGATACACTGCTGATTCTTCTTTCACTTCTTTTTTTATTTAGGCTAATTTTCCCCAGCATCCATTTGCCATGTGGCTACTTTATTAGAAAAAAGGCTGATTCCTTTATCTCATTCTTGCTTCATTTGAGTTAAACAAAAAACATGAAACTTAATATTGCTCATAACTTAAAATGTTTGTCTTATAGAGTTCATCTAGACACTTAATTTTGTTGCCAGATATTTAGACAACATATATCATAAAAAGGACACAGCTATTATATAATTTAGAATTTCTTACTACTGTTTTAGAGTCTGCTTAATTTGACCCCTTCTTTACTTATGAAATGGTAATGTTTTCAAACTGCTTTGACAGGCCAAATAAGCAGCTTATTTGTGTGATTAGTTATATCACCTTTCTCAAAGTTTTCTCTGCATAATGTCTGTAGTTTAAGGTAATCTCATACCAGAAAATACCTTAATGTTCATTTCTTTCTGCTTCTCTGGAGTTTGTAAATTTCCTTTTGAGCTTCTTTTAGCTCTCATTCAGCACTGTTTATTTTCCCTGAGTAGGCTACTCCCAAGCTTTTCTCATAGAATAAAGAAACTTGTAAATTTTGTAATCTCTTGTATTTTGTTTCTTTCCAGTTGAGATAGGCTTCCTTCCCTGTTTAATCAGGGCATATTATATTTACTCCTCCAGTTTTCTTTTCTCTTTGTATATCATCTTGTTAAACTTCCTGTTCGGGACTATGTTAGAGCTTGTGTGCAGTAGACCAAAATCTCAGAGCTGTTATCAGAATGAAAAATTACGGCCTTCTAATTTTTTGTGCATTTAAAAGTTACCTACAGGAACAATTATTATTTTCAATTTACTGCAGGTTATCTTCTTTAACCCTTCCTTCCTATGATGAACTATCTTTTGCAGAGATCAGTTTGTCCTGTTTATTGATCTGGAATCCACAGTAGATTTGATTTTTCTGTAGGCATATAAAGTAGGAGTCATTTCTTAAAACATGACTATTTACTGGTTTTTGTAATATTAGTATTGGGACTTTTTTTTTTTTTTTTGGTAGCATTGAGTGGCAGGTAATATCTTTTTACCAGTCTTACTGTGGTCAATTTTTGTGCAAAGTGTTTTGTTTTGAGTTTAGCTGGAGAAGTGATGCCAGATGCTTGCAAGTTCAGTTGGGCCCATGTGCAGAGGTCCTTGTCCGTACTGAGAGCTGCACTGCACTTGCTTCTGGTGAGGTGAAGCTAGCTCAGCTGACTGGGTGTGTCAGTTGGTATATGTTTTGTACACATCCCTGGGATCCAAGCCATTTTGCCAAAGTAGATGTTAATATCAGAAAGCTAGAACTTTATCTCAGTATACCTTGAGCGTTTAAGATTGTCTTTAAAATATATTTTTCTGTAATGAGTTTCTGGAAGCATACTTGCTTCCAATTTTTCTTTTCCTAAGTCACTTTATTTTTTTATTTCTATACTGATGTAACTACACTTTTTTTGTGGTTAATTTAAGAAAATTGTGATCTAAAATGCATTCCTATTTGATTGTACTGTTTCCCAAAACACTTCTTGTTCTTTATTATTTTGCTAATACCTTTACTGTCTACCAACAAGAGGATATTTGAAGAGGAATCTCACAATACAGAGGAACAGGAATGTGCTACATATTTTCCTCATGGAGGACTCCTTGTTTCTATTCCCAAACGTAGCTCTTATAGTTCTCATTACTTCTCATTGCTCCTGTTTTCTGAATCTAAGTAAGTCCCACCCTATCTTTCTCTCTCTTCTTTTCTTTCCTGTGTTCTTGTAAGTAAGACTGAAGAGAGAAGAACATTAGTTCTTTCATAAAAAGAAGGATGAAGTCACAACTAGATGCAAGATTAGTCAGTTTTGTCTGCCTCAGTTTTGTTGAGAGCTACCTCTGGGAAAAGAAAAGGGGCTTTTCTATGGTGAGTAATCCCATTTCAACTATAGTTTATTTTATAAGATAAATGAGCAAAACCATAAAACTTTTGTAGAGGGTATTGAAATGTCAGTTTTTAAGTGTGAGAAATTATTGAAACAAATTGAAAAGCTGGTTGTTATGTAGGAAACAGTAAAGATACAATTAACAGGACATGAGAAAAGAAATGATCAAGAGAAAAAATGGCCACACAGCTGTACACAGGAAAAAATGTTTGTAGTACTCTTACAGATAGCTCTTCTGTAGCAGATTATACTTTTGTTTATTGTGTATTCACCAATTCAGTCCTTATTGACAAATATTATGTATTCAGTACCTATAATACTTTGTGCTGAGATTATAAGAGAGACATTGTCTTACATACAAGAGGATGATATATTTGCAGGTAGAAAGTATAATAGTACTAGCAAAATTGTGGCATCCAAAAGTGTAATGTAACTATTTTCATTTTCATTATCTTTTTCTTTGTGTTTTCCCTTAGAATGCTAATTTGAATAAAATAGAAAAACTTAAGCTTTCAGTTTTTGTGTGTACTCTTAAATTCATCTTAAAAGTTTTACTGTTTCTCAAGAAAGCTGCCGTATTTTTTTATTCTCTCCTGTCTCAGCCACTTAATTCATTACCTTTCTATTGGTTTCTTTACCCTTCGTGGGTAAGTTTATTGAGTAATCTGGATGTGAAAATTTGGTAGACAGTAAAAACATTTGAGTTTCAGGTACATACTAGCATTGTTACCTGCTAAAGCACCTGATTTAGACTGAGAGCTAACATATTGGTTATGTGGCGGGAAATTCGCCCGCAAGCTCATAATTTCAATGAGAATTGTTTCTTAACAAAAATGGAGACAAGCCCAGTAATACTAAGATTTGGACTAGAAGTTACAAGTCAAGCAGTGTAATAGATTTCAGCAGCCTTGCAATAGAGTGGTACAATCTTGAGAGATTTGATCTGTCCTGAGTGAATAATAAAAAATTTTAAATGCACTTGGCAAGCGAAGGTCATAAATTAGGATAAGGTACAAATGATAATGAAAGTAGTACTCATTTGAGAAAATATGTCTAGATTGTTATTTAAATGGAAAAACATATTTCTGTTTCCTCTTTACCTATATGTGTAGGAAATATTATACAGAGATAAGTTTATGAGGTATAACTAGTTAACCCAAACTGGCATGCTTTGAGGTAACAGCATAGTCCTTTTTGTGAAGGAAGTATTACATCTAGACTTTGTACATTTTTACCTCTTATGAATTATTTTTGTAACGTTATTTTAGAGCAAGAATTTCCATGCAAATTGCTTTACATGGATTTTGAATTAATTCTTATTTTCAGAATGCAAATATCCTATTCTTCAGGACTGAACTCAAGACTACCGTAAATAAATTTCATTTGTTTCTCAGCCTGTATTTCAGATTCTCAGACCCAGTGAGAGCATAACTGTGACTGTTAGGAGTAATGTCCAATTGTTGTATATTTAATTTTAACTTCCTTCCTCTGGTCAAATTTTAGGCTGCCAGGATATCGCAGATGAATTCAGAGCACAGGAGATTGATGGACAGGCCCTTCTCTTGCTAAAAGAAGACCATCTCATGAGTGCAATGAATATCAAGCTAGGCCCAGCCCTGAAGATCTGTGCACGCATCAACTCTCTGAAGGAATCTTAACAGGAACATGAAGCCTTGATAAAACAGCAGTTTTACTCTTCTCATACAAACTTGTAAGGTAAAGGCCTAACTTGGTCTAGAGTATGACACTTATTGTGGTGGATAGCCGAGCACATTGGGACCTCCGCATCAAATACTGACATTTCTTCTACAGGTATAATAATTCATCGTACATTTTCATAATTAACCATTGGTAAAGTTAATTTTACAGGTTACATGAAACACTGAAAGACTTGTTGTTATAGAGGGCCATGATATTTTTCAAAGAAATGTGTTATACTAGATAATTTTTTTAAAGGTGATGTTTATCATTAATATAAAGAATCCTTTTAAAAGTAATTTAATGATTTACATTTCTCCTGTTTTGATTTGGTTTTCTTATACATTTTTCTACCCTATTAGTTTTCTAAAGGTTGTCATGAGAGATATGTTATGGCATAATTTAGTAGTCCAGTGACGGAATCATATGCAATGAAATCAGTGTACACTTTAAAAAACATGTCTTTTAGACATGCTTTATCTATAAAAAAGGAATTGTGTTTTAGTGTGAACAATACTGATCTGGAAGTGAAAACAGTTTCTAGTCCGAACTTGACCAAGAATTTGGTTTGACTGAGAAAGTTTTCCTCTCCGTTTTTGTACATTTAGAGCAGTGGTTTTCAATAGAGGTCAGTTTTGATCGCCAGGGGACATCTGGCAAGTCTAGAGACATTTTGGTTGTCACAGCTTGACGGGGCGTTCAAGGGAGGGTTCTAGATACTACTGGTATCTAGGAGGTAGAAGCCAGAGATGTTTCTACATATTTTATAGCACGCAGGACAGCACACCTCCACTACAAAGAATTATCGATTCAAAACTGTCAGTAGTGCCAAGGTTGAGAAACTCTGATATAGAAGGAGTGATAAATATTGTTTTCACCCAAAGGGATCTTTTTTAAAAATGGAGCATAGCAAACATATATGATGGAAGTGTTATTCCGATAACATTAATATTCTGTTGAATTATTTTTTTCTAGTTTAATCATGCTAGAAAAAGAAAAAAAGATCTACAAATTGGCCTATAAAATAAGGACTGACATACAAATAATTTAACTCTCAGAAAGTACTAATTCATTCTGATTATCTTTCATACCTCTGTGCTCCTCTGCACTGATGAAGGCATAATATGATTATACCTATGAACCAGTGTACAGCCTTTTCTGGAAAGAAAATAGTTTTTTAGTAGATATGTGATTGCTCTTTGGATTTTTTTTCTAATGTTGAACAATGCTGGGACTAGCTAGAATGCACATTCCTACTTCCTTTACCAAACCTTTGCATGCTTCCTGCAAAGCACTTACCAAGTGATTTCTCTTGAATGATCAGATGTAAGTTTGTATGTACATGTTTGAGGAAAACAATTTAAAGCAGAACCTTTTACTGAACAGTGTTCTACAGAATTATGACACTAAAACAAAACTGTGGAAGCCCTGAAAGCTTTATAGTCCTGGACATCAAAAATTTTATTTCAGATGATGAATGTTTTGTTTTAATCTTTTCTTATATTACCATGATTGAGATATTTTAGTAATTGAAGGAACATACACAGATATTTGGCAGAAGTTGAGTAAGTAGGGGAAAAAAAGAGTCCGTGAGTTTCAGTCATTTTCATTGCTCTTTTCAGAAAGATTGTGTTCAGCTAGTAGAAGACTAAAGATGTCGCTGAAGACATCACAGATATTATATTTATCTTTTGGCTTTGTGTACATTAGAGAATGTTGATTATTTTTATACAAAAATACAGCGGGTAATTTTTTTAATCTTTAGATGCCTCTTGTTTGAATGTATGCTTTGTGGAATTCTTTGTGTAGTAATGTTTTTTAAAAAAAAATGTTTACTGATAGTTACATGTAGGATTAGAATGTGTAATATAAGGCTCATGTTCCAGACCTACAGTAGCTTGTAGTCTGTGTTACATATTTCTTTATATCACATTTTTAATCATTGGATTAAAGTTTCAAGGAAAGCTAGGTACTCTATAATCAGTTTTCATTTATTAGCAGTTTATCATCATGACAGAATTGTCATATGCTTGACTTTTCCCCTCTTCTTGCAATTTCAGAACACAAATACAGGCTGAGCATTAGTAAGTGACAGCCCACAGTATGAGGGAGGGAGGTGCAATGGAAATCTTGCCTGGAATTAAAACTTCTCATAGATTATTCGCAATTAATACAACATTTATTGTTTGGGGATAGATTCCTCCATCAGTAATGGTTACCTCCCATATTACCTATGGCCTTTAAGGCATCAATTTTGAACTGTGTTGTAGGCTCTCCTTTTATTTACTCTCTTCCATAATATCAGCCATTCTGTACTTACTGAAAGCCCCTGTGCCTACCACTGTTGTAATTATTCAGGAGAGGCTTGCAAGAGGAGTTTCTATTGGAGAATACCTTATAATCTTAAATTTAGTCCAGATCTCCTGTTGTCCCAACTCAGAACATAGCCAGAAAATGCACTTGCTTTTTTCAAGTGCGTTTTTATTTTAAAATGGCTCGTTTGCTATCACTTGGTGGTTCTCCCATCAGCACAGCTATTTCTTCCAATATGATTTAATCATCTTAATTTCAAAACTTCAGTTATATTTAATGGGTATATAGGCAACACTGAGCATCCACCTCTCTCCTGAGTTTTTAAAGCACAGTATATAGTTGGGGAGAATATAATTGTTTTCATATCCTTTCATATTACTACTAATAGTTAGGATTTTGACTGGGAAGAGAGAATGACAAACAGAAAGGGAACATGGAGGCTCTTCCTACTTTTGCTACCTAAGTTTGCATTTTCTGACTTCCTTAAAGTGTTGCACTCTGTCCCATTGGGATAAAAAACCGTGAGTTTGAAATTTTGCTTTGAGCCTTGTGTTCCTAGGAAAGTTAAACAACCAAGAGAGCTGGTTTGTAAAAATTGTTTTTTATATGACATTAATATTCATTAAGCCTTGTGTAGGCATGTGTAAGACACAGCTATGCAGCTTTGAATAGTCTATATAATGTGAGATAGAGTGTTGTCTCAAAACCTGTTACTTTTTAATTATCATATTATTATTTCCCTGATGGTACTGTTATTTTGCTGTTGAATGCTCTAAACGGAACTTTTTTAAAAGGCGCGGTTTAAGAGCAGTCACCCAGGAGTAGACAAGGTGGAATGGAGGAAAGAAATGATAATGCAAAAGCTTGAGAATGGGAAGAGTCAGAGGCGGCCGCCATCATCCTTGTTAGCTTAGCCCACTTCAATACCGAGCACATTTCTGCACTTTTGAAGTGAATATTCATGTTTTACTTAGAAATAATTTCCTTTTATTAGGTATCCCACTGTTGATTTTTGTTTCCTGGTATATCAAAATTCTTAGAATATATGAAACATAGTTTAACACATAGTATTATTGTGACTATGCCTTTGAATAATTTTTGGCATAGCTTATCTTCATTGATCAAGTATAAAATTATAATGAGACACCTCTTCACAAATACATGTCTTAGATTGAATTGAAATGTGTTATAGTGCCCTGTCTCCCACTGACTTGTTCAATTAAATGTCTTTACTACATTATGTACATCTTCAGGCTTTTGGTAACACAGTGGCACAAGTATGGTAGGGAGGAAATGTAGTCTTAGGCTGTATGACTATATTAAGTGTGTATAAACAGATTTTGAAAGAATATACTATTATAGATGTATGTGAATGATGCTGACCTCACAGCCATATCCAGTGGATGAAACTGACTGGACACAATGTTTAAATGTTTTAAAGATATATTTTCAACCAGAACAGCCTGATTATAGTTTGTGGTTTAAAGATTCTTACCTTGGTTGAATTGCAGGAACACATGCAGCCTACGGGCATTGAGCATTAGCTAATGGCATGAAAGGGCCTCATCTCACTACCTCTCTGAGGCCTCTAGCTCCAAGAAAACTGCATAAAAACTTATTTCTTTGAGAGATCTTTGTCTCAAAATCCTTAGAGAGGATTTTGTATTGGGGCTAACTTTAGGAAGGGAGGTAGCTGGGGCAGGACTTTCTGGTACCTGACAGTCATGTTCCAGAGCAACCTCTGGGCAGTGGAAACTGGCCCATCTGTGCAAAATGTTTGCTCGATCTGTTTCTTGTGTGCCACATATGTAAAGTGGGGCCCTGAGGAAGGTTTTCTAGAGGGAAGTATAGGGAAATAGAGGAGGAGACAAGTAGGAGGAACAAAGCATTTCAGACCCAAGAAGATAGAGGTTATTTAGGATAGATACAGCTTTCATCCACAGTTCAAAATAATACATTTCAGTTGTTAGATACCAGTTATAGCAATATGTAGGTTATAGTTTTTATGTGTCAGGAAATCAGACTCATTCTTTCACTCTCTATACCCACTGTCTCCGTGCTTAGGAGCATGGATATTAATAGCTACAATGATATATAAGTTAGTGATTTTCGATTTCTGAAAAAGGTGGCAACCTTTTATTATAGTTGGAGAATATTTGTCAAAAATTCAAAGGTTGTTATAATTGAGATGCCAGAATGACAGTTTCCATTTTCAGATACCACAGTTGAATCACCTCTGTAGCTTGTTATGGAGAGGCATTTTAAGGTAGTATTTTATTTGTTAGGTTGTGTCTCAGTCTAACAATTGGGAAAAGTAAGAGCTATAGGTTTCATTTTCCTAGTCTGAATTTCAGTAAACACAAGCCTACCTCTGCTTCTTTTGTGCACAGCAGTGTGGATCATGAACTGTTTACCCACATTCATCAATATTGGTATTTTATAAATCTACTTAGAGCATTTTTATTTCATCTCAAAGATTGTGATCTAATTTAGATAAGCACAAATACGGTATTAGGAAAAGTAAATATGCAGTTTTACTAACAATTTCAACATGTTATGCTGTATATCTTTAAAAATAATTATTTGGGGCTGCGTGTGGTGGCTCACACCTGTAATCACAGCACTTTGGGAGGCCGAGGCAGGTGGATCATCTGAGGTCAAGAGTTTGAGACCAGCCTGACCAATATAGTGAAACCCCATCTCTACTAAAAATATAAAAATTAGCTGGGCGTGGTGGCGTGCATCTGTAGTCCTAGCTACTTGGGAGGCTGAGACAGGAGAATTGCTTGAACCCAGATGACGGAGGTTGCAGTGAGCCGAGATCACGCCACTGTACTCCAGCCTGGATGACAGAGCGAGACTCCATGTCAAAAAAAAAAAAAAAAAAACTCTTTGGGAAGATAGGTCCTCTTTTGTTAGTAATTCATAAAATGTGTCCTTATATAGTTTTGTTCACAGCAGTTATATAAGCTTTCTTCAAATAAAAAGTTTAGATTACCTTATTTGGAAAAAGAATTTCCTAAATTTTTAAGAATGTTCAAAGTTTTACCTATTAGTTTTTAGAACCTAATCCATTTTAAAATTGTACTATGAGAAAGCCTTTTTTGGAAAGTCATAAAGCATTAATACAGATATAATTATTACTATCACATTCCAGAGAAAATATGGCTTTTTCTAAACTTTCAATTTAGAAAACACACATTAAAGGGGAATCCCTGCCCTCCTTTTCAGCTCTGAAGACCAGGTTTTCTAATGTACACTCCTCCATTCTACTCAGACACATGCACAGACCCCTTCCAAGTGTCATGTTTGTGGGAACTTTTGGGAAATGTTTTCCACAGATGTTTTATTTTTTCCCTTTTATAGTTTGTTGACATTTAATTTTATTTAAAGATGACAATTTTAATCTGAAATGTTAAAGAAGAGGTACAACATAATGAGGTTCTAGCTAGCTTTATACTTTTGAAAAATATTTTTTTTCTACTGCTTTTTACAAGTACTAGTCCTCAGTAATACTGGTGATGTTCAGTATGAATCCATAGAAAGAAAACAAAATGTCTTGTTTAAAAGAAGCAAAGTAGGGAATGAATTTTAATTTGGGAAAAACCAGTATAATCTTAAAACACTGTTACACTAACATGGCAAGGTATTAAAGAGTAAGGTAACAAGTACTTTTAGAGCACCTGTTTAAGTTTACTCCAGTAGTCATCTTAAGGATTGATAGTCACCATCATTGGCCTAAAATTTATATTTCATGGAATATTATCAGTGTTAAATCCATGCTTTGTGGAGCTTTAACTGACAGTGGTGAAAAAGTTGGTGTTTATGAGAGAGTGGTGAGACATCTCATCATTAGTGAAGTTAAACATCAACCTGTTTTAGAATTTTTTAGTCTTGCCTCAAGTAAACCAGAAGTATCTAGTGTTTAAATCTTTAAAATGCTTCTCTTAAAAGTATTTTTTGTTTTGGGTAGTATTAAATAATCAGTAAATAATCTACTTCAGTAGTAAATAATAGATGTATCCTCACTCATCATCTTAATTCAACACACTGGTTTGGCGACTGGGGTTTTAGTTCAGTGGGTTAGCTCTGTGTGACATGTTGAGCAGTTACTCAGCTTTTTTAACAGCTTCCAGATATACCATATGGTGCCTGTACTATTCAAATGTTGATTTTGGTTTAATTCGTCTTTAAGGTACGTCCCAGCTAAAACTATGATTCTAGGCCATGTAATGGGGTTGCTCTTACTTCATTCACTTTCCCTTTTTAAGGGTTTATTTTATACTTAATAAGCATCCATTTCTTGGGTCACCTAGAGTCTTTGTTCTCTTAAGAATTAAAGTAGAAAATTCATACATAACAAGCAAATGAGGACATTTGCCTAAATTCTCCTTACTGGTTAGCTACTGAATATATGAACACATATGAATATTGTCATTCAAGCATTTATATTCATTTAGCAAACATTTGAACACTTATATGTGTAATGTGTGGTATACATGACTTGAGGAACTAGTAATAAGTAATATTTTCCTCAAAAAACTCATTGTGGCTTAAATAAATACGGACATAATCATTACTACTCAACGTACTGAGAGGGAATCTTAATAAACTTGAAACTGGGAGGGAATATTTTTATGCACTGGGTAAAGGGTTAGGCTAGATGGTATCTAAGGGGTCTGAGTGAATCATATCATTTTTATAACACAGTTCACATGCTAAACACCAGTTGGCTCTATATCTGATTAAGTTACAAAATTAAGGAGACTTAACATTAAGGACTTACATATTGAGACTGTGGCGACAGCCCATATTTCATGGCATTATTTTGACACTTGAGTCCGTTGCAGAGTTGTTGGTACACAAGGCATGTGGCAGAACAAAAAAAAGCTAGTGTTGCTATTGTACATTTTTAACTACAGCTTTTTTTTTTTTTTTTTTTTTTTGAGACAGAGTTTTGCTCTCTCACCCGGGCTAGAGTGCAGTGGTGCAATCTTGGCTCACGGCAACTCTGCCTCCCATGTTCAAGTGATTATCTTGCCTCAGCCTTCTAAGTAGCTGGGATTACAGGCATCCACCACCACACCTGGCTAATTTTTGTATTTTTAGTAGAGACAGTGTTTCACCATGTTGGCCAGGCTGTTCTCGAACTCCTGACCTCAACTGGTTCACCTGCTTCAGCCCCGGAAACTGCTGGGATTACAGGCGTGAGCCACCGCACCCATCTAACAGTGTAGCAACTTTCTAAAACTGAAAAATCTCAAAGTAGATCACTGGAACAGATGTGTTCATTTATATTTTGTTTTTAAATTAAGAAAGATTACACTAAGTAAAAGTTAACTGTATTTTAAGCTGTTACAAATATCCACCTTTTAAAGATATGTAAGAACAAGTAATATTCTAGAAAGCACATATATTATGTAGTAAAAGGGCATCCTTTAAAATGCAGAACTGGTAAACATAAAACAGTTCCATGCTTGAATTGGTTAGTATCTGGGGGGTTAATATTGAATGGGAGAATCATTTATTGGGTTGAGGTCCATTCCTTGTCACTCTGGGATGCTGTGAATCACATTGTAATTCCTGTTGACACAGCTTTACATATTAACATCAGTTGATACTAACAGTCTCCATAAAGATCCAGAATGAAAATATCTATTAAAAAGTCTGTTAATCATTTTTGCAGTTTTTGTTTTGAGACGGAGTCTCGCTCTGTCACCCAGGCTGGAGTGCGGTGGTGTGAGTGCTCACTGCAACCTCCACCTCCCGGGTTCAAGCGATTCTCCACCTCGGCCTCCTGAGTACCTGAGATTACAAGTGCACGCCACCACGCCTGGCTAATTTTTTGTAGTTTTTAGTAGAGATGGGGTTTCACCATATTGGCCAGTCTTTGTTTTTCCTATAGGGGAAAAAGTCAAAATAAGTTCCAAAAACTATCCTCAAAGTGAGGATTGTGCTTGTAGTAAAGGTTGGCTAGGTGGATGCTGACAGTGGTGGCAGGCATTTCAAGCCTCTATTAAATTAATACTTTTTTGTCTTTTTATTAAAATTTTGTTAATTTTAACAAAGACCAATTGTGATAAACTGGTGTTTTTTGGATACTTCAAGCACATGTTAACCAATTTTTTAAATTCCTCCTTTTGGTTCCTCCCATTGTTCTAAAATAAAACTTTCATATTATTAAAACCTCAAAGGATGATCCACCCAGGATGAACAAAGATCACCAAGGGGAAAGAAAACATTTTTTATCTTTACAGAAAACAAATGTTAAGATTATATATAGATGTATTCTCTACATTGGATATTGTATTAGAATCCTCCTTACAAGAAAAGGAATAGTTTTTAGCACTCTTAGGATTAGAGTTCCTAGATTGGTATTGATAGCTACAGTTTTAAAATGTATAACCTGAAAATGAAGGTTAATTTTGCATTGTAAGAGCACATTTGATCTATGTAAAAAGTGTCCATTTGGTGTATTTTTTTAAAAAAGAGAAAGCACTTTCATATTAAGTAGCATGTGTATGAATTTAGATTTTCATATTTGTTGTGTCTGTATTCAGTGAGGTAAATTGAGCATTTAAATGTTTGTTGATGGCAACATTAACTATTAAATTAAAGCACCTTATACTCTGCTGCTTAACTTGCTTGTAATTGCACCTTTGTTACCTGCACATTTTCATATAGAATATTGTTAACATTGCTTCATGTGGGTCTGGATGGAAGATTAGTGGGCCTACAGGATCATTTATTTATATTGTTTATATTACAATAATATATTGTAGACCAGTTGTAAGTTCATTTCTTTACAAATAAAAGCCTCTTCCATTTGGCTGGTCTATTCAATAATTTTTTTTCTTTAAGCTTATGAGACATGGGGAATCCTCTGTGTAAACAAAAGCTCAGTGAGATTTGAAATGGTTTTAAAATCTGCAGAGTATAAGTTTTTACTAAGTTCAATATATTTAAACATATTTCATTCCCATATTTGGCCAACAACTAGAAGGCAATATATTTAGAGGAGAAAGTAACAGAAGGAAAGAGGGCCGGGTTTAAATGTTCTAAACTGTTTAAACACACCCTGATGTTCCCTCAAACATAGGATTACTTATCCTAAACTTTGTCTCTCATTTGGTTTTTATAGAATAATGTCATTTTTATTCTCGTTTTCTCTAAGTATTTTTTAACAGTGTACCAGCCATTATAGTGGTTATTTCTCTTCCCTGCCGTGTCTTCTGTTAACAGACCCTGATCATAGAGAGGTGGACATATCACTGAAGTCAGGTTGAACAGTCATTCCCTGGGACTGTATATTTGAAGTTAGAGATGCTTTAAGTTGGAATTATAAAAGCCCTGAGATGCTGGCAGCCAGAACACCCACTTTGTGGACACACAAAATGGAAACCGACAACTCAGAGATTCTCCTGGTAGTTTACCAAGTTGTTTCCAGTATCCAGCTTGTTCTTAGAATGGCTCAGGGTGAGTTTGTATTACATGCTATTCGAAGAATTCCTGACTGACTGCCCAGCAGCATTTCAACTTGTCTTTACAGATGGGTAGAACTAATTAAAAAGACTTATTCATTATAGCCCTATAAAGCCTTAACATGTTCATGGGCATTGGATATTTTCAGGTGAAAAATAATTAAGAAAGAACAGTCTTCACATTTGACTCTCAAACAACCTATTCTTTTGAGAACAGTCGGTGGCACCAATGAAAGGCAGTGTAATATAGTGGCAAAGAGCAAGAACTCTGGATCAGAATTCTGGGTTTGCATCCCAGCTTCCCCAATGTCTAGTTGTATGATAGTGAGTTTCTTAATTTTGATGTTTAAATTTTCTCATGTGTAAGAAGGGGATGATAACAGTACTGGGCACACAGGAAACGTTTCCTAAATCTTTTTGCTATTATTCATGTTCCATAGCACTTGTTATAGGACATTTTTTCAAATAATGGAAAGAAACTATTTGTGGATCATGAATTCAATTTTGTGAATCACAACAAGCATTTTAAAAATGACACCAAAAAACATATTTGCATGAATTTGCATGATATGTAAGGGTAAGTATTGTTATGACACACAAACATGTACATATTAATCTATGAGTCATGTTAAAAATATATCTTTCCATAAATATAAAAGCCACAAATTTAGGAAAAGCTAGGTTTAGATTTATGTAATATAGTATTTATAAATGGTGATAAAAATATCTATATAGCTTAATTCCTAAAGTAACTTAAGATTATTCTGCCAGTCATACTGTTTTACTCCAATGAAGCAACTCTGCCCATCCACCAGGACAGGTCTGGCCATGTCTGAAGACATTTTTGATTGATTGTTTCTAGTGGGCGGAGGGCAGGGATGCCGCTAAACTGCCCCACAACAGAAAATTAACCAACCCCAAATGTCTGTCAGTAGTGCCGAGGAATGTCTGCTTTTACGTGTGATACATTGCCAATGCGATTATGATGTAACATGCAAGTATGTGATACATGAGTTATAATATGAAAATGAATCTGCTGAGTCATGGAAAGAGACCTAGCCACTACTCCCAATTCCGTAAGGTGAGCAACCAAAACTCTTCTTCCAGGAACATTTGCATTAAGAACAGAGATCTACTTTTTAAAATTAGGTAAATTTAAAATGAGCTAATCTTCCTCTTACATTGAACTTTATACCAAATCATTTTAAGAACAGTTTTTATTTTCTTGCTGTCATTTGAACATTTAATAAAAACGTTTATTTAGGTTGATACCTTAAAGTGGTCAGTGAAATCTCAGATTTACATCCGGTAGTTTTTTTGGGGTAACACATCAGTATGGCCAAATGTTAACTCATTTCACTTTTCGTGTTAATAACAAATTAATATAGTGTCCCTTAATAAGTATAAAAACTTCTTGGAATTCTTTTGTTTTTAAAATGAAACACTATTTAATAAGTAGTATCATAGCCCCAAAAGATACATTCTGAAAAGGTATCAAAGTTAAGGGGCAAAGCTTTAGTTCAGTTTATTTTTTAATATGTCCTGAATTCTTTGTTTGTAAAATTATGACCTTATTATAGTTGTAACTTTTACTTCATAATATTAACAAGTCACTATTGATAGAGGTTTTTCAGTTTGCTCAATATTAGGAATTGTAAGTGGAATGAAGCAGCACTTCCAGTTGACAAATGGATCCAAAGGTAACTCAATGTCTCTTAAATTAAGTTTGTGACAATTAAACCAATACACTGTAGCAATGAGAAAACTATTGACAAAGTACAACCAGGGAATATTCATCTCAATATATGCGGGAATCTGTGCTTTAAATAAAAGAATGATTACCTGAAGTAGTACAAATGGTAACCAGGTACCGAGAAAACAGACAATGAGCTTGGATAAGAATATTTTTTTATATCCCACAGTATAACTGGAGTGGGATGAAAAAGGAAAATATAAGATAGTTTCATTCATATAGGAAGTTATCTTAACAGCCTGTACCAAAGTAGTAACTTCTTCCCAAGAGGTTATGAAAGCTACAAGTAAAATCATCACCATGAAAAATGATACCCAGTAACTCTGAATGCTGACATAAAAAGGACAGTGATGAGAATAAGCATTCTGTGGCTTCAGGCTTTGGTAGATGGCTGGATCTCCCAAAACATAAGCAAGGACTGAAATCCAAATTAAAATTACTGTACAGAAATAAAACAATTTTTGACACTTAAATGAAAACTTGGTTGTTTTGGAGAAATTCAGGCAATAATCTATACAAGCTATCAGGAAAACTGGATAATGCAAAAAGCCGTAAGTTAAGGAAATAATTTCAGTAAATAGGCAGATGTGGTATTTAGTAAATCTAATGCTTAAAAGTACAAAATCCCTGAAATACAATAAAATGGAAATGTTTACCAAAAGCAAAAGATCAACGAATGCTAGTGAAATGCAAAAATATTCCATAAAATTTTGACAGGTGTTTTTTCTTCTCATTACTAGTGTGAGAATATTTAGTAATATTTTCCCAAGTATGATCAAGAATAGCAGACAGTTAACATCTAGGGGCTGGTTTGTTTGATGTAACTGGTACTGAAAAGAGCAGTTCTCTGAAAAGAGAGCAGTCATATTTTCAGTTAAATTTCAAGAAGACCTGCTGAAATGCACATAAAACACCGCTTCTTTTATTTTCCATACCTGCAAAAAAAAAAAAAAAAAAGTGAAAAGAAAACCTTAATGTAATCTATTTTGAAACATTACAAAGCAGGCACCACTATTATAAAAATTCTAATTCAGTCATTTCTCCAAGTGGTTAAATATATGAATAGGAGTTATATGTCTCATAATACTTACAGAATACACAACATAAGAAGAATCAATGTGTATACTTTGGTCATTTTTTTGAGACCCAGATGGTCTAGAACTCAGATTTTTAAACCAAAATGTTATATACAGGTATTGATCGACTTACTTACGACCATTCGACTTTATGACCACAATCGCTAGCCACGACTGCTCCGTGTCTGGCAGGGCAAACGTTGCCCAGCTGGGCATACGACAGTGCGGACCAGCTTCCGGCAGCACTACCATCTCCGCGTGCATATAGCCTACTCACGACCAAATCGTGTTACAACCGGTCTGTCGGAACCAATCGTGATCGTAAGTCGAGCACTAGCTGTATAAATTACTAACTTCTATATTTAAGTACAGGTTTTAACAACTTACAGGGAGAGAAATGGTTTTATCTACCACAGCCAAAACTCATGCTTAAAATAGAAGCTTGGTAGCAATATGCAGAACCACCACAGAGAGCTTTTAACCCCACCTCACTCTGACTCCAGCCAACATGACCCCAGTTCCCTTTTTTGTCCATTTAGAGGCTATGCTTACGGGGCCCCTTAACACAATTTCAAAGCTTTTTAGTTGCAGAATCCTTCAGATTAATCTTTCCCTGAAACTCTGAAAACAGGTAGTTTCAGCTGAAAATAATGGGAACATAGGTAAAGGAAAGATAAGGGTTTATCTTCTGGATATGGTCTTTCAGGTATGGCATGTGGAGAGACAGGAGGATACAGGGAAGGAATAGGGGCTGAGTACGAAGACATGAGAACATTAGGAAGCAGTAGGTAAAGGCAAAGGAACAGGAGGTGAGGCTTCAGTGATAAATGCATTTGAAAGCTGGAAAACGAGATTATGATGAAGGAAGTCAGAGAAGAAGAAATCAGGAAAGGAAGGAGATTCAAGAAACACATGCTTAAAAAAACTGAGTTGACCCAAACTTATAATACTATTCAATCACAATATTTATAAATAACAACAAACAACAACCAAAAAAACCTCAAAAATGACAAGACAACAAACCCAACCACAAATGTCAACAACTGGAGATGGGTTCAGAACAACACAGGTTGGCTGGATGTGGTGGCTCTTGCCCGAAATCCCAACACTTTGGGAGGCCAAGGCAGGAGGATGGCTTGAGCCCAGGAGTTGGAGACCAGCCTGAGCAACATAGGGGGCTGTCTCTACCCGCCCCCACCCCCCAAAAAAATTACCTGGGCATGGTGATGCACACCTGTGGTTCCAGCCACTTGAGGGGCTGAGGTGGGAGGACTGCTTGAGCCTGGTAGGTCAAGGCTTCAGGGAGCCGTGATTGCACCACTGAACTGCAGCCTGCGTGACAGAGCAAGACCCTATCTTAAAAAAAGAAAGAAACAAAACACAGGTTGAGTATCCCTTATCAGAAATGCTTGGAACCAGAAGCATTTTGGATTTTGAATGCATCCCTAATCCAAAAATCCAAAATCACTTTCATTTGAGCATCATGGCAGTGCTCAAAAAGTTTAGGATTTTAGAACATTTCAGATCTTTGGATTAGGGACACTCACCCTGGGTATGGTAATCTTTATGATATGCAGCCATTTAAAAATTGTTTCTCAGGACAGGAGGAAGACTTCATTTTCATAGTTTTCACTCTGCCTTCAACTTGTTAAATTTTAAGCCTTGTGTATTTGGTACATGTTAAAAAAAGTCATAAATTTCTACAGTACGTTAAGTGAAATGCAGGTTACAAAATTATGCAGCAATGTGTCATATAACAAATACATAGAAAAAGGCTAACAGGTACATATGAAGTTATCAATACAGTAGTATTATACTGTTTCTCAAATTTTAAGGAAAAAAATGGAGTATTGAGTCTGAAAACTGAAAAAATTAAAATTGCCTAAAAACCAATCACTGATGATTAATTTTGTCTGAAGGTAAAGAAATCAGTGTGATAACAGTAAAAACATGGAATAAATCCAAATGCCCATCAGTGACAGACTGGATAAAGAAAATGTAGTACATATATACCACGGAATACTATGCAGCCATAAAAAAGGCAATCGTGTTTCGCAGGAACATGGATGGAACTGGAGGCCATCATCCTTAGCAAACTAACGGCAGGAACAGAAAACCAAATACTGCATGTTTTCACTTATAAGTGGGAGCTAAATGATGACAACTGATGGACACAAAGAAGGGAACAACAGACACTGAGGTCTGCTTGAGGGTGGTGGGTGGGAGGAGGAAGAGGAGCAGAAAAGATCACTATTGCGTACTAGACTTAGTTCCTGGGTGACAAAATAATCTGTGCAAAAAGTCACCATGATACGAGTTTACCTATATAACAAATACGCACATGTACCCCTGAGCCTAAAATAAAAATAAAAAATCTATGAGAGAGGGCTATCAGTTTTGATGACAGATTGAACCATTACTCTCATGGCCATATATCTGTCATAAGATAACTTATTAAGGTATACAAGCAATGAATCTACTTATAAATGTATATATGTATAAAGGCAATTATAAAATACAAAATCTATTTTCATGTAAAAGACTCAAACAAGTGCTTCCCACACTCAAGTTTTTTTCCCCTATATTCAAACATACTACCATTTAACTTGTTCCTATCCAAAACAGTTCCATTCCAGATTGGATATACAAGGGCACAGAAATGTAGCTGCCAACGTGACAGATGCCATTGGTCTTAGAGAGGTGGTGTTGCCTGACTAAAGAAGCCAAGATGAATAAGACCAAAAGAAGTCTCCCTTGTGCCAAAAACAAAAAAAGGCTTAGTTTTAAACAACTAATATTGGTTTAAAATGAGGGTGAGGAAATTGTGTGGATCCATATTTATAAAGACCCATTTTTCTGAAATGTAACTTTAGGATAAAATAATACAATCATATGTCTCACATGATTTTAACCTTTATAACTCCTAAAGTAGTAAGGAAAGTCAAGTCAGGCTGGGGGCCATGGCTCATACCTGTAATCCCAGCACTTTGGGAGGCGAAGGTGGGTAGATCACTTGAGCTCAGGAGTTCAAGACCAGCCTGGGCAACATGGTGAAACCCAGTCTCTACAAAAAAAATACAAAAATTAGTCGGGTGTGGTAGTGGGAGCCTGTAGTTCCAGCTACTTGGAAGGCAGAGGTGGGAGGATCACCTAAGCCCAGGAGGTTGAGGCTGTGGTGAGCCAAGATCCTGCCACTGTATTCCAGCCTGCGTGCCAGATCGAGACACCGTCGCAAGAAAAGCTAAGTAGGCAACATCCAAGGGATGATTTCCAAGTTTCCATTTCATCATTGACTCTCACAGATGGGGCACCTGGAAGATGAGAAAAGCAGGGAGGAGGACGCTTGCGTCTCCTAAGGGATAAGGAAGGTCCACAGAGGAGGAAGAGAATCAGCTACAGCCACCAAGGCATGAACGAAGAACCTCTTCAGAAGATGAAGAAAGAAAACATTGTCCAACATGGATTATGTAAGAGAATCATAAAACTAGAAGAAAAATAAGACCAGGGAAGATAGGCAACTCGAGGCAATAAAAAGTGACAGGAAGAAACTGGAAAACAAGACTTCGGCCAATTTACAATGGTTCCAGAATACCATGGTCATGGAAATGAATCAGAGCTTTCTTAGATGAAACCAGTTTTATATACTCTACCCTAATTACCCCATAAACCACCATAAGTGTTAAAAATTCCAACATTTTGTTTTTTAAAACAACTCCCTGGACAACACAGAAATCTGTTGATAAGCTACCCAAATTTCCCTTTGAAAAGTGTTCACAGTAAATATAGGGACTCAGATTTCTAAGATCTGGTCCTTTTCCTGCTCCTGCATGATTCTTTTTTTTTTTTTTTTTTTTTTTT